GCCAAAATATAAATTTTCAAAATTCAAAAATGCAAACTATACCCAATTTTTAATTGAGTACTCCTTTAATATTTACAGTAAATTTTTCTTTCATCATAAATATTAAATTTTCATGGAAATTTATATTTGTAAATATTTATATTAATTTGAACTCCTTTAAAGGAAAATAATTGATCGCGATTGCCACCCTGTGCTTTGTTTACATTTTTGATGACGCGGCGAATTAACATAGTGAAGAAAATTGCAAGTGAGCAGCACGTGTTGAATTCGTTTGTGAATAAAAACTGCATTAAAGTACTAAATTAATATTAAAGTGACAAATGATGTGTGTTTAAGTTTAAACAAGCCCATGTTGAGTCGGTTCGTGTTTTGCGCAAGTGTTCTAAAAGTATTGCTATAAAAATGTTCGCGCGGCGGCGTTTATTTCAGTGCGTGTATAATTCGGTGCATTCGGCTGATTATAAATATCAAAATAAATAGAAATAAGCAGTTTATTGGTTTGTGTGTCGTGAAAATTAATAAGAAAATGTGAAATGTGTAGGATCAAGGCGATTGAGGTGTAGGTGCATAAATATCAAAATAAAGAAAAATATGCATTTAATTTAGTTATGTGTGAATAAATGTGTGTAAGTTAATAAGAAAATGGGAAAAGTGCAGTAAATATACATATGTATGTATGTATTATAATAATATGCAATTGAGAAATGTGTAAAGGCTATTCGAGTGAGGTGCAGCTGCATGCACAAACATGTTAGTGGGAATTTTGCATGCGTTGGCGTGTTCGTTAATGAAAGGTGAGTGATATGTGTATGGTGTACTCGTGTATGCTGTTCGTATGCATTTACTTGAAGGAGTAAATACAATCGTTTTTAAATGTGTAGGCATTGTTATTTTATTTTAGGTGTTTACTTCTGCATTTGAGTAATATTATATAAAAGTACAGCGAATGTAAACATGTTGCGAAGATTTATATTGCTTAGATTTGCTATTTTTGGAAGTTTTTTAATGAAATTTTTTTTTAATATTAATTTAAGTTATCGTAAAAAAAAAAAATGAAAATTAAATTTTTAAACCGAAAATCGGAAATTGTTAGTAGGAGTCTTAAAGAGCCTTTTAATCTCAAAGTCATAATTCAAAATTATTTATCTTAAAAATAAAATTTTTAATTTTAAAATTGGAGAGATTTATATTGCCAATCATCGTTGACATCATTTTAAATTGCCAGAAATCTTAAGTTCGTGGTAAAATGTATGGTATGAGAATATATTAAATAATAAATTAAATTAAAATTAGCAATTTACGCGTTTTCATCCATTTTACCATATTTTGACTTGCAACATTTTTCTTTGTAGTGCTTTGCTTTGGTAAATATTAATATGCAGTCCAAGTATGAAAAGAACAACCATAAAACAAACAGTTTTGTAAAATAATGCAGCAGCTAATTTAACCTAACGCCTTGAAAGTGCACGCCGAATTTGGCTCATTTGGTAGGTCAAAAGAAACACGAAGGAAATAGGAAAATTGATTTACTTATATTTATGTCCACACATCTATACAATTATACAGTTATATACATATTATTTTGCTTTGCTATAAGAACCTTGCCAACCTTTAAATGACCCAAGAGGCCAAAAGGCCTACAATCAAATGTCTTGTGACATTTAACTTGCACGATGACGACACAACAATACTTACATTCATATAAACATGTATTATACTCATAACAACAACTAAAATAAATGAATAGTATATTATTTATAACAACAACAACAACTGTCGTAATATGCCGCATTGAATACGAAATAAAAGATTTCTGCCAAAAAGTTAGACTACGAGCGTGCATAAAATTGAACTTTGCTTTATGCACACATTCACACTTGTATGTATGTGTGGAGTGTATACTATATGTGAGTTTTCGGTTGCAAGTGTGTAGAAATTGAAATTTGTAGAAGGAAGAGGAAAGTCGAGTATGATCAACCAACTAATATTCCAAGCATGTTTTCCTTTAAGATGTCTATAGTCGAGACTATTATAAGCTCTCCTGCGGTAGTACTTCAGTACAGTGTGTTGATTCTGCTTATTATGTGGCACAAAAAAAAAAAAATTATGATTGCTATATGAATATGCGGTTGAATGTGTGTGTTGCTGTAAAATGTTGAATATCAGGTCCAATTGTGATTTAATTCAAAAATTATTAATTTTTTTTTAAACCCTCATTATAATTAATTTTGAGATCTATATTTCTTTAGTTTTCAGTCTAATATTTGGGATCAAATATTTACTTTTAATTTTTCAATATGATATTTGGAAAAAAATATATTTATTACAATAAGCATGGGGTAAGAATCCTAAAAAAAAAAATAAAAAATTACCAAAAATTGTTTGTTCAGTTTGTTACACTGTATCCTTTTCTTTGTGTATTTATGTATTTTATTTTCATTTTTTTGATTGCATTTTTGGGTCTTTCTTGTTGTGCTCATCCGTCAGAATTCCATTTTCAATTATCTGCGAAAATTCCTACGAATTCAAAGAACAGAACAAAGTTGGAACCGCCATCCTAATGAAAGGATGTACTAATGCATATACGCACACATATAAATATTTAAACAATTTATTACACTACTTGCCAAAAGTGCCAATACGAAGGTTAAAGAAAAAGTAAATCGATCCAATATTTTTGAGTTTTTGTTGAATACTTAAGGTTTATCGCGCGAGTTCTGAGGTTATTCGAACTAAGAAAGGACTTCATCGAAGTTACTTTACGTCATTAGAAAAATAATTATGGAAAGGTATCCTTAGTGTTGTGTAAATACAGAAAAATAATAAATAATATAATTTTAAATAATAATATATTTTTATATTCGGAGGAGTGTACTGGGTGTTTGCCATACATTTGTGTTCATATGGGCGAAGTAGACTGTCTGTTTATAAGATATGGATCGGAAATTTCACACACGTCGTCTTCTCTCCCAGAAGTCGCTTATTTGTAAAAATCTATTATATTCGACTTCTTGAATCGAAAACTTTTTTATTTGGCAAGGCATGGTAAGGGGTTACATGGATTTCCTCGGGTATAAATAGCCCTATTTTAAAAATTTTTTTCTCATATAAAAAATTAAATATTTTTTTAGAATTCTTTATTGCTACAAACATATACTATTAACAAATGTAGTCGTAAAGTTTTGGAGAAAAACACTTTAAACTCGGCCATTGCGACGCCATTTCCGGGGACCCCTCGGAGAAAAATGTGCCCGCGTTTGCAGGATAACTTCTTACAGGATAATGTATACAGAAAAAAAGTGTTTTAGTTAAAACCTTAACTTAGAACTTTCAAAAAGGAAAAAAACAGAAAATTGGCGGCATTTTTTTTTTTTTTATAGTTGTAATCCAAAAAAATCCTGCATTCAAGTCTTTGCGAATCTCAAAAAGATCTTGCCAACCCACTTCAGAAGTACAGTTTCAGAAAAGCGCGTTTGAGATTTTTATATAGCTACAATCAAACCTGCACTTGGAAGGTCCAAAGTTAACTTTTTCACCGATATAATGTATGTGTATTCTTGATTTAATGGGGTCTAAATCCAAAAATATCGGTCATTAATTATGCTGCCTTAACAGCTTAGAATAATCTAGTAATTTAGGTAATTTTAATATATAGGGTGAACCATTTTGAGATTCACTCCTTTTTTTTAAAGAAGAAAAAAGGAAAATTCTAATTTAATGGAGAAAGTTTATTTCGAACCAACATTCTTTGGAATTTATTTTTGAAGATTATCACTTTTAAATGTTGGTTGCGGTTAAAGAATTACGATTGGTAACTGGCGTGATGTTTAGTTTTAAGGCCTGATTCGAAGCGGAGTTGCCGGCATAGATTTTCGATTTACATATTCCTACAGGAAAAAGTCTAACGGTGTGATATCACACGATTTAGGTGGCCAATGGTTGACCGAAGTGTTCTCTCAATAAATCCATTGATTGATGCAAGCTTCGCTGAACTAGAAATGGGCCCCATCGCTGAACAAAATTTGGTTCGAAAACGTCGGATTTTCTTTGAAACTTTCAAGAGCCCATAGAGCGAAGCACTATGTCGCTTGGGTAGGTTGAGCGGCTTCAGTTTTTGCACAAGCTGCATTTTGTACGTTTTCAATTTGGGGTCTCGACGTAAATTGTGCCAGGACATTCTATACGTCAGTCTGAGTTGATGCGAACCTTTACTTGGATCACCCATTAGTATGTTATATAAATCGGGTTTTTAGCAGACAGAGTAGAGAATGCAACCAAAGTAGAAAAGTAAAAAGTTCGGAAAAATATTTGTTTGTAATTTCCGGCAAGTATTTTTTGTTGTGCACTTGACAAATATGAGTGAGCAGTGTGAAAAAATAATTAAAATAAAATACGAAAACCGAAATAACAAAACAAAAAAAAAAAAAAA